TTATACCATATGACCTCATTATTCTCATTACACTTCCTTACAAATACCTAATTTAGAGTTTATGGGTTTCCCATCCTAAGTGTTGGAATGAATGGTCTGAATACGTGACGTTTCATTAAGGAATCAAGTTCGATCTAGATTACCTCTTCCCTTTTTGGCTAGTCAAGTCGAAGTTACGCTTCAACAATGGATGGTTGTTCGATGTCATTGCCCTTTACTATTTCAGCGACCACCACTTAGGCAGACACGTCACCGATGATGATCTCGTTTTGTTTCCATGTCTTCTAGACAAGTAGTTGACAGAAGGATCAAGACTTGGGATAACTATCCCTGTCTTTTCATGTGTCACTATTCTCCACTTTGGGGGAAGCTTGTCTTTTGAACCAACAGTTTGCCTTACTTCAGGGAGGGATACTAGATTGGTTAGCCGCCAATATCGTTCTTCGATTGTCAGTAACTTGTTCTTTGGGAGCATAATGTCTGACAGGATGACTTTAGGAACATCAATTCTTGTAGGGACATTTGCAGCATGAAGGTCTAATCTTGTGGGTATCATTATATCAATAAAGGCATGCCATGGGTTCCAAATAATGGATAATGGAAGAAGACAAGTAACTTAAAATAAATCCATTTCCTTCGTTGAAGCCTCTTTGAAACATTATGGGGGCGCGATGGACATATGTACAACACACCCAAACATGTGCAAGTACGAGACATTTGGCTTCTATCCATTTGCCAAATGCTCCGCAGAAAAGGGTTGGGTGGCAGTGGGCCTTATACTAACCCAATTCTTCGTGTGCATTGTTGGATATAACCCCAAGTAGAAATCGGAAGATTGGACCTCATCTAAATGATCAAGCAACAAGTCTTACAAAAATGTAACATTTCTGGTGGACAATAGAGCAAGTGTGGGACTATCAAGTCAATGCATCAACCAAAACCATAAAGCAGCGGAAAGGTCCGCGTGGTGGTTAGATTGGTGCAAAAGTATATCCTTAGATCCTTTCCAAAAAAGTGGCTTGCTTTTTAGAGATGTTTGAATAGGACGGCTTTTCGTCTTCTTTATCTAACAAGAAAGCTTCACATGTATGGTCAACTAGATCATGTATTTCATCTTTCTCAATGGATGACCATGTGATGCACAAAGTATACGACACATCATATCGCTTCCTGCGTGTCCAAGACAGTGGTGCCAGAGTTAGAAAGTGCTCAAGTCAATTTGCTTTAGCAAAATGACTAGGTTTTCCTCGATTGTTCGGATATTTGTCTTATAGAGACTCGACGAGAATGCATTCAACTTCTTTAAGATGTGATTTCGGGTGCATGAAGTGAAAGTGATGCAAAGATATTCAACACCATTTTTTTAAGGGTTTGTCATGCCCCTCTATTGGTGGCGTCGAGCCACTGATTGTTATCATCGAGGATTCAATAGGCACGAAGTTGAGGAAATAAATGCAGTTACGTAAAATAATGTGTGTGGTGGCACTGTCGTCTATACAATCAACTTCCTAGAACATACCTATGAAAATTAAATCGAGTCTCACAACAAGTTTTTCAAGATAAACTTTATTAACTTAAATTATTTGAGAACTAAAATTCCAAAAGAATTAAAACAATAACCATAAGGGCTTAAGAAACCATTAGGTTCCCAGAATGGCCTAATAATCTAAAAATAAAAATCATCTGAATAAGAAACGAAAATTCCAAGTGGCGACATACCAACATCCATTAGTAGCCATCTAGCTCAATGAAATCAAACAAATAAAGCCGTGTCATTCGGGACAACTTAGGTTCCCATGTTATTATGCTCGACGAGGTTGGTTTATTTCTGATGACGGTTGTGATAACGATCAACAACATCAGAAGGTGCACAACAAGTTCGAATCCAGTGATTAGTTCCAATATAGCGGAAGGAAAAATTAGGCTTATTCTTTGGTTAAGGGAACTACTAACCTTACGCTGTTGTTCCTAGACTTCTTGTGAAATATGACCACAAAACTTCAAAATCGGCAGGATTTGACAGACTTCAGAGACATACTCGTTGACAGTCTTAAAGTCTTGGAAGTAGAGATTATGCCAATTGTTTCTTGCTTGAGGAAAGAATATTAGCTTCTGATGATTAAAGTGGTCCACTAAGGCTTCCCATAAGGACTTCAGACCCGATTTGCAGGGCTTCCACCATATGCTTCCGAATAAAAATGAGGGTCTTAGCATCTAGTACTGCGTTTGGCATCTTCCTCGCCTTAAGGTACATCTTTGACATCTTGGGCCTACTTGAGGTAGTTGGTGCCAAAAATATCAAGTGAACTCCAACTTGTCCAAGTTTGACATCTTTTATGCAGGAAAAGAGGTGGATTAATACTTCAGATTTAATCAAAATTGCTGTAAAATCTTTAAAGGTTTGTTTTGCAAGAAAACTTCGAGGTTCTATTTGGTGAATAAGAGCTTAAGGGTGTGAGCTTGGACCAAAGATGTGGACTCATAGTGAGGCATGTGTTGGTCGGTTTAATTAGGCTCGGGTTTTGTTGCTTCTTGACTTAGAAAATTTCAAAAGTCAAGTGAGTTTGAAACTCAAAAACAAATTAATTCAATTAATGCTTCTTGAATGAATTACTTGGGCTCTTATTCGAATATTCTACTTGAATTTGGAATTGGCCGAATTTGGAATTAGGCTTCGACTGGAAGTGAATTGGGTTATCCACTGGAAAGCAAAAAATAGCGCATTCGACTGGAATGCAGGTTAGTATTGACTGGAATACTGAATTTGTATTTAAATGAATACGAGTTGGGTTTTTGATTGAAGCTTTCGCCTAGAATGCATGGGAACACACTTTTGGACTTCGGGCTAGGTTTACTTTTGGAAGCCAACTAACAGCAAAGTTAATAGGAATTTGCAACAATGGAGATTGAGGCATCATTGGAGCCTCCAATGATATTCACATTTTTATCAAGAAAATCACAAACAACCGTTTTCGCTTTATAGCATAAACTTAGATTTAAGTGTGTTCGTGCACATGATGATTTTTCTTAATGAGAGGGCTTTGCAAAATTACAAAAGTAATAAGAAAATATCATAACGGGGTTCATGCTTCATGAGATGTTTAAACACATAATTATGAATTTGGCATGAACTTGAGATCATGAAACGAAATACTCACTTCAACACAAAAATGATCCTACTTTAAAAATTCAGAAAAAACTGAAAGTTTGTTGCCAAAAGGTGAGAAAAACCAATGTGCAGGTTAGACTGGACCAACAGGGACTTTGAGGTGGTTGGATTCTGCAAGGAAAGAGGCTTTTCACAGTAAATTCATTTGCTGCAATAGGATCTTTGCGACAACCTTGAAGGTTTTCTGAATTTTTTCTTTTTGCGGTTAGTGTGGCTGCAAAAGAATTTCTAGTGTTTTGGGAGAGTATTTTCTAGTGGTTTTTTATTCCGTCAAGAACAAAAGTGTTGAAACCTACTATAGTGGTCTGGCTAGGAGTGGTTTGGTATGGGATCCTAAACTGAAAATGGATCTTGAATTCCAAACTGAAAATTTTGGAGACGGGAATTTGAAAATCAATTCCGAACCGAAATTTTGGTATTCCCAAAATGTTTTCGGTGTTTCATGATTGGATTTTGGATTTTAGGCTAAAATTTGAAATTTTTGGACTGGGGGCTCAAATTTGGGCAATTGGCCTAAAATTTTGTTGCCCAACTTCATATCAATTGTGATTTAGGCTTTTTACCTCATACCAATTTGAAATTTCATAACAATTGAAGTATCAATTCACTCATATCAAGTCAAATTGACGTTCCAAAGTTTCAAACTACTTAATTTCATACTTCTATTTCTAATATAGTCTACCATCAAACTACTTAAATTCAACATTCAACATGCATGCAAATTTCAGTATTATCGGTTTGATAATTTTTCGGTATGGGATCGGGATTTTTTGGTTTGGTTTAAGAATTTCGTGAAAAATTCCAACCCTAGGTCTGACCATCTTAGCAAATTACACAAATATCTCTAAATTATTTATAAGTGAGAGGTCTTAGGTTCGATTATCGTCAAAGACGAATTTGATCACATTGTTGCTAACCCCTTGTGAGGTTTAGTTCACTCTCTACATCCCTATAGTTTAGATAATAGCGTTTGTTCAAACATAAAAATTGGAAGGACCAAATGCCTAATCAATTGAAGGATGGATATTTGAGCCATCATTCACTCAACGGTTACAACACTTTCTAAATTTCATATATTTTTTAATTTTAGAAAGAATTATTTTTTTAGTACAAATTTCTAGAAGATTATTATTTATTTTTAAACCAAAGTAGCTGGATTCGATCAGGCGTGGTGAATGTATAATATTAGAAAAAAAATTATATTCATATATTCCAATGTCGGTGGGCTGTTAAGTTTGACTCTACTTCCTAGCTTAATTTCCTTCCCTCGATCGTGTAGATGCAGGAATCCCACGGCAAAGAAATGATGAAACACAGAAATTATAGACTCACACTTAGCTGGCTGGCTGGCTATTCTAGAAGTCCTCGCTGGTCGCAACCACGGTTCCACCCACATGTCAATATTATATGGAAACGATTTCAGGCTTTCAAATGCATAAAAATATTAACCATATATATTTAATGTTCTTCATTGTCTGAATTATTTGGAACGTGATGGATTAAAAAGGAATGCCATAACTATAAGTATAATTTATTGCTAAATATTATTTTCAGCACATTTTAGAATCCTTAGGCCTCGTTTGGCAGTTCGGACTATTTCTATCGAATAGGTTAAATAGCCACCAAATAGTACTGACTAAATTAGTCGAGCGTTTGGTGCAATATCGGACTAATGACCGTATTATTTATACTGTGTTTGGTACTGAACCGGATAGGACAAAGGGAAAAAATTTGACAAATCTTCGTTTGTTTAATGAACTTTTCTCATATTTATACCTATTGAAAACCACACAAATTTTCAATAACAAAGAAAAATAGTAAATTCCATATATCAAATTCAAAATATTTTCCAATAACATAAAAGAAGGTTCACAAAATACAACTACAGTCATTACGTTATATAGATTAATCTAACCACATATCCAAGTTCATAAAATATACAAATACAAGTTGGTTTCAATAAGAAACAGTTTGTCCAGATAGCCAAAATATATGCATGTTGTTGCTTTGCAAACTCTACCCTCTGCTTTGCTTTCTCCTTAAACACCAACAAACACAAGAAGCATCAACAAAACAAACATTTCCTGCAATCATAAAGGCCAGATGCATTAATGTTGCAAACACTAAGTCCAAACAACCAATAAGAGAAATTTAACCAACAAAACCAAGACAACCCCACTAAAAATCCGATAAATGCAATGAATAAAATAACTAAAAAAGTAAGGAACAAGATTTGAAAGCCTAACAAGACAAACAACAAAACGAAGACAAAGTTTCAGTTACAAACCACTGAAGTAAGTGCCATGGAAGGATCAACACACCACTGAAGTGAAACTAGCCAGCGTTTCCTTCACAGAAGCTTAAAGCTTCTGTTACAAACAGAAAAATGAACCAAAACAGTGTGTTATTCTCAGTTAACATATAAAACTTATGAGAAAATACTACCACAAAAAACACAACAATTTTGTACAAGCATCAAATACAAGATATTCCATATAACATACTTAGTCCCCAACATATGCAGCCTAACGACTCTAACATGTAAACGGATACCATATAACACACTTTAATCACTTCCTTTTGGCCCACATTATCTCTTCTTCTATTTAACCATCCTTGACAATCTTGCAGATTGCCCGTCAAGTACAAAGTAACCTTCAGTTCTTGCCCATCAAGTACAGAGTAACCTTTAGAGTTAATCATCTGCACAGATTTTATATAACATTTGCCCATTACTAATCTTGTTCACCTGAGCATTTCAGTTCAAATTTTTTTACCATTAATGTTTGACCACTAATTATTTTAACATCATCATATCAACAATAAACACATAACAGCTAAATCAAAGCAAACTTTCACCATGCATCAGTCACTCAACAAAAAATCGAAAGACAAAATCTTGAAAATTCAACGAAATCCCACTAACCAAATCTCAAATCAAAGAAAACCCACATAAGAATTTGCAGAATAATGATATGGAAGCAGCTCATTTTTTTAGCACAATTCTCGTGCCAAAATTCGACCCCAACAAACTCTAATTCGACCCCAACAACAAACCCTAAAATTCGAAAATTCTAATTAAAACACAAAATTACATAATCAATTGCATAATTACAGAGAAAACAATAACTAGATTCAAACAATTGAAAGAAAATTGCAAGAAAAATAGGAGGGGGAAGAACAGAGGGAGGGGCAGAACCTGGGAAGAAGAAGAAGAATGAGAAGACAAACCTGGGAGTGATGCGTATGGAGAGGACCGGTGCATCTGGAGAGGAAGGAGAGACCGAGAGATTTTCTTGTACCATCTGGAGAGGAAGGAGAGAGCGAGAGTGTTCTGACTAAATTGTACCGTCCTTTTAGAGGGGATAAGGAAACGGGTGTTTACCATATAAAGGAGGTGGGTTCGGATTATTTAATCCGGTGGCTATTTAATACAAACGGACATCAAATGTTGTACTTAGTATTATTAGTCCTATCCGATGTATTATCCGACGTACCAAACAAGGCTTTTAAGTATAGAGGTCCCCACGTACGAAGTAAGAACACAGTTATTTAGCATATACAGGTCTATATGCATGCACGCACGCACACAAATATGCATACATACATATATATATATATATATATAGAGAGAGAGAGAGAGAGAGAGAGAGAGAGAGAGAGAGAGAGAGCAAAGTTTTTTGCCAGATTATAAACTGTGATTTGTTATTAGTTTCTTGCCAGATCTTAGAACCCACTGATGCTACTGGACGGTAATGGTGTTTGTCACTCCATTTTGAGTTCTTATCTAATATATAATATTACTTGTCATTGTAATTTGATATCGAATTTGCTCAAAGCTCTCATATTAAAATTATGAGAAATTTCAATGTAACATGCATCACCTAATTATATTACTTTAAAAAAAAGAATAAAAAAATTACTATGAATTCCTTTGAATTCTTTAGTATTTGAAAATTGGACAATTAACAAAAATGATGAAAAAGTTAATCTAAATTGTCAAACTAATCGGATATTTTATAGACTTGTCATTTCATTTTTATAGACCCATCATTTTAAAGTTGGTTAGTTCATCACTTATATGTTGTCATTAATCAGAACATATAATTTCCAAGAAAAAAAATTTACTACTTCTTTCTTTTTGTTTTAGCCCGGCCACCTTACATAAACTTTAACCTTAATTTAGTCTATATGATTGCGAAAAATTCAATGTTTTATTCTCTTGATGGGTATGAGTATTATTGGACACCCATCGACAAAATAAATAGTGATTTTTAAAGCTTACTTCCCACCTACCAAGAAAAAAAAATCGGAATATGGAAGAATGAAACAACTTAGGGTTTCAGGGAAGCATTACCATAGTTGGCAGTATCCCTTCCACTGGTTCCAAAACATCAAATAAAGATGCAAGTGGCATTTTACCATATTGGTGAAAATGTGTTGAGCCCTTGCATGACGGCATGGGTTCGAACCCCGTCGGTAACTAATCTAACATCTAATCTAACAAAATCTATCGTTTGATAAATAAATAAATAAAGATAAAACTCGCCATTGATACCTTCACCAGTACTGAGGTGCCAAATAAGTTCTGAAGTGAAGGGAACTAGAACTAGCCAACAAATTAAGTAAGGTATTTGTCCTCTAAGTCCAAAAAAAGTGTAAGTTTTGTTTTGTTTACACGTTGGAATCTAGACATGTTTTGTTTGGGGTTGATTTAGTCATGCAAAAGTTTTTGTATGCTGGGCTGGAGATTAAACAAAGGTAGCTCGAAGGTATTTTTTGGGTACAAGTATATATTTTAGATTAAGGGGAGAAGAAAGTTCGCTAAACCACACAATGGGTAACTTAATTTGAGATCGAATTTGTCATTTACGAGATTCGAACCTAACATCTCACTTACAAAATGAAGAGGAATACCACCAAACCGTAATACTGATTGGCAGTTATTATATATATTTTTCTTACGCCCTCCATATGCCGGTTGATTTTAATACGATGTATTATGACCACGTGAAAATTGATGAGATACGTCGTAGCTTCTCGGTGTCTAGCTCTATAAAAAGGAACCATTTCTTCCATTTATCATCAAAGCCATACTCACTCAACAATCTTCCTATTTCCTCTCCATCGATCGACTTACATATTATTCTTTTCACTTATCCTCTTCTGATATATATATAATACTCTCTGTCCTTGAAAAGCTATGGCTCAAGTTGCCGCTCAAACCATGGATGTAAAAAGCATCAAATCGCTTGCTGAATCACCTGCTCTCAGTTCTGTTCCTTCTGCTTATGCCTTCAACATGAACCCAAATGACGAAGCAAATCCAAACGATCCCGAATTCGCAATCCCCATAGTTGATATGTCTCTTCTTACCTCCGAATCTCCTGATCAACGGTCCAAAATTATCCAAGACCTCATCAAAATTTGTCAAGAATGGGGTTTCTTCATTGTATGTACTTTAACTCAATAATGATTAATTTTCTTCATTTTAAATTATGTTTTAGTTTTAGAGTTCCCTCAAGTAACTAGATGGGTATTTCTTATATTCAAAACACATAGTAGACCACTTGTCAAATTTAAGTGAGCTCCACATAGGGGCCATTTCTATTAGAAAGGTGGTCAACAAGAGAATCCGTAGATTCAGTGAAAATAATTTTATATTATTAACATTCAAAAACATAGATCTAATTAATCATGATCATGATGAATTCAATGCAGGCGATTAACCACGGAGTCCCAGAGAGCCTAATGAAGGCGATGATTGATGCGTGCCATGGATTTTTCAGCCTCCCAGACGAAGAGAAGGAGGAGTTCAAATCCGGAAACGATGTGCTGGAGATGTTCAAGTACGGAACCAGCTACAATCTTGCATTGGACAAGGTTCTTCTCTGGAGGGACTTCTTCAAGGTGAGAGTACATCCTGAGTTCTACTCCCTCTACAAACCGGCTTGCTTCAGTGAGGTCTCAATGGAGTTCAGCAAGAGAACAAGAGAAGTAGCATTGGAGATAATACGCGCAATATCAGAAAGCTTGGGATTGGAGCCCAACTACATACACGACGCAATGAACATGGATCGCGGCATACAAATGCTCGCGGCCAACTACTATCCGCCTTGCCCTCAGCCAGAACATGCAATTGGTATACCACATCACACTGATCATGGCCTTGTCACTCTGCTCATCCAGAATGAGATGAATGGCCTCCAGGTTGAACACAACGGCAAATGGCTCACCGTCAATGGCCCTGCCAACGGTTTCTTTGTCAACCTAGCTGACCAAATGCAAATTCTTACTAATGGAAAATACAAGAGTGTGATGCATCGGGCCACGGTGAACAACAAAGCTACAAGGATATCTATTGCCGTACCACATGGACCATCTGTTGATACAATTATCGCACCGGCGCCGGAGTTGCTGGAAAAAGAAGGCCAAGCTCCGAAATACATTGGAATGAACTATAAGGAGTATATACAGCTTCAGCAAAGCAGCAAGAACTACATGAAATCCACCTTTGATCATATCCTAGCCTAACTAATTAAGCATTATACAGAGTCCCATGGCTTTGTCGCACGGCAAAGGATCTCAACCACATTGAAAGAGCTGCAGCTTCCTTTTAGTTTCTTTTTCTTCGAACTGTTTTTGGTCAAAATTTCTCTTCTTTTTTCTGAATGATCATGTCATGTTCAGTGTCTGATGCGTTATTAGCACCAAACTGCTTTGTGGTTCAATAATATTTGGAAGGATAACATATTTGCAGACGTGAAGCGCATAACTCATCCCTTGTGAATAACGTATTTGTATTGTATAATTTTATATTCGGAATTGTTCGATTTCTTTATCTTTATGTAAGACTATTCCTACAAAAAAAATCATTAAATCAGAGAACGTTTGATTACCCAAATGTATCAAACAAAAAGGTAATTCATCATGAATACATTACTTGATAGTCATATTATCGAAATACATGTTGTGTACTTCTTTTAAGAAACAATTCAAGTGTTTTTTCATGAAACACTTGCATTTGGTTGAAAAGTTTCAATGTGCTTTTAATAAAAGCATTTTAACTGAAAGTATTTCTGAGAAATTAAAATAATTTTTTTTCAAAAAGAAGTTTTAAAGAAGCCATGTATCTTTTTGGGGTTTTTGAACTTTAATCCTTGAAAAAAATTAAAATTTAAAAAAAAAACCTGACGTTAGATTGGATATTGATTTTAGTCTTTTATTGCGTGCTTAATTCAAATATATGTTATATTTTTGTTATAATATTTAATAGATATCTTATTTAATGTCATTACATTAAATTTTAAATTTATTATTATACACATCTTAATTCATTAATTTTATTTAACTTCTTCTAATTAGTGTACCTAAACGTCTATATCATAATATATTTTACTAAATTAGTGTACCGAAATGTCCGTACCCAAATATATTGCAGTACCTAAATACATTACAGTGAATTAATGGCACATAAGGAAATATGCAAAAACATAAGTGTACCAAAAATTCCGTACCTAAACATATGATACTAAACTAGTGTACGGAAATATTTGTACCTAAATATATTATATTAAACTAGTGTACCTAAATATATTGTATTAAACTAGTGTATTGAAATGTTTGTACCTAAATATATTACAATGACTTTTTGGGTAAATTACATTTTCATACCTCAGGTTTGGGCTCTATTTCAATTCCTTACAACATTTTTAAAACATTTCACTTTCATACCTTAATTAAGTACTATTTTATTTCAAAATAATACTTCCATTACATTTTCCCTCCATTGATCCGTTAAATACATGTGGCTACTACATATATGCCACGTGGCTGCCAAATGTCTGCCACGTAGAAAAAAAAATAATTTTTAACTTTAAAAAAAAAAAAAAAAAACCTGAATTTTTACAAAAAAACAAAAAAAAAATTGAACAACCCACATCTACAAGAAGAAGAAGAAGAAGAGGGAGGAAGAAAGGAAAAAAAAAATTGAAACTATGTGACCTACATGTGCAAGAAGAAGAAGAAGAAGAGGGAGGAAGGAAGGAAAAAAAAAAGAAAATTGAAACTATCCCTCCCCCCCCCCCCCCCAAGCGACCCACATCTGCAAGAAGAAGAAGAAGAGGGAGGAAGAAGGGGAAAAAAAATTGAGCGACCTGCATCTGCAGCAGGAAGAAGAAGAGGGAGTAAGAAAAGGAAAAAAAAATCAACCGCCCCCACCAGGACCCTCCTTCGGTGCCCTCCTCACGCGGCCTTCCCCCTGTTCCCCCCCCCCCCCCCGGCCGTCCCCTCCTTTCCGCAATCTAGTGATTTTCAGTTTGGGTGAGTTTTGAAAATACTAATACTTTGAGTTTGAGATGATTTTTGAACTGGTTTTATGGTAGATGGGATTTTCGGGGGTGGGTGATGGAGGTTTTTTGGGAGGGGTGGCTCGGGTGGGATTTTGGGGTTTTTTTCTTTCTTCCTCCCTTCTCTTCTTCTTCTTCTTGCAGATGTGGATCGTTGGGGGTTTTTTTTTTTTTTTTTTTTTTTTTTGTAAAAATTCAGGTGTTTTTTTTTTAAAATTAAAAATTATTATTTTTGCCACATATCAAACATTTGGCAGCCACGTCAACATTTAACGGATCAATGGATGGAAAATGTAACGGAGGTATTATTTTGAAATAAAATAGTACTTAAGGTGTGAAAGTGAAATGTTTTAAAGATATTGTAAGGAGTTGAAATAAAGTCCAAACCTAAGGTATGAAAGTGTAATTTACCCTTTTTTTTTTTTTTTTTCAATTTTCCATTAGAAATGAAGAAAACGTCTAACTAATTTTTAACTATTGCAGTTTTGCGTTGGCACAATATATTTTTCTATTTCATTATCAAACTTCTGTTTGCTTTGTTTTTTCAAGGGATGCTAATGGGATTGTACATTGTCTACCCCAATTCAGCCTACAATGTCTTAAGTTATCAATGTGGGTGGATACTAGTTTGTCGTGGCTTATGGACCTTATCCATGCCGAGTCTCTAGTGGAGGTCTAAGTTTAATGTGCATGTGAGGCCTCTTTTCCTTCGTCGAGCTTTTTCCCACTCGATTTTGTTCGTCAAGTTTTTTCAGAGGCCGTCTATTTGTTTTTCATATGTCTGTCTTTGTATGACTTGGTTAACATAAATAGAATTCTCTTTAATTGAACTCAACAACAATTAAATTCGGAAAGAAATTAAAAAAAAAATATCCAGTGAGCTTCAAATATAGGGAACTTTAACGAAAAGCTCTGAGTACTGTTCATTTTAATGAAAAATCATATTTTTATACTAAAAGTTCAATCCTATTATTATTCACTTTATCCTTTATTTTATCTTTATCATTAAAACTCAAAATTTTCAAATTATTTTTATTAATTTTCTTTAATTATACTGGGTTTGGTGGAATGACTTCCCCGGGAATTACTTACCAAGAACATCGAATCAAAGTATAAAAAAGTTGAGTTAAAAGAAACAGTTATATATGCAATAAAAAGTTAACATGTACTTGCCCGATTTGAGTGATTTTCTTTGTCATTGTCTCATATATTCCAGTGTTGGTGGGCTGTCTGTTTGACTATACTTTTTTACTAGCTATTGTGGAAGTCCTTGCAAGCCTTTGATTGCGGCGCCCAACATTTCAAAATACATGTGGAAATAGAAGAACCGACCAAATAATTTTATGTTACCTACACGGCTTTCAACCGCCCATTGTTTTGTTGAAACTACGTTAAATCATTTTAGTGTCAGTTGACTGTAATTGTAGCAGAGCTAGTATGGAGTCATTAATTATTCTTAATTTTAACAACTTCAAAACTTTATGTATATTTGTTTATATATTGTAATTGATCTTTATAAACAACTAAGGAAAATTAAATTATAACATTTTCCTCGTGCTTATTCTATTTTCCTCTATCATATTTGTCCTTCTTTTCTTTCTTCTTATGTGCGACTTTATTGTGCGTGACTCTATTTTGCGCACCATGTGCTCAATGAAATACCTTAGTTGAAAAGCCTTAGCAGTGTTCAACGTTACTCCACAGAATCTTGCATCCATCCTCAAAAAGCCTCTACAAATAATAGTACTTATTGACATATGTTGGTATAAACTTCGAGCATATATTGGCATGAATTGTCAGATGCTTACTAGATTCTCGATGAAATGGTTCACTGAAACTTTTTTTTTTTTTTTTGTTGATATTCTGACCCAATTTTATACAAATCCTGGCTAGGCCACTGTTGTAAAGCATACATTTCTATATGTATATTAGTTATTTAGCATGCAGGTCTATGTCTAGGTATATATACGTACATACACAAATATGCATATATAGAGCAATAGTATCTTACCAGATGACATAATATAAATGTTTGGTTATTAGATTCTACTGTTATCGTGAATGTTTATACAAATAGATCACCGAAAGAAGACATATCTGAAGGTCTTAGCAGAGCAGCCAGGATGGTACCTCAAACTAGTTTGAGAATCATGCGATCTTGTTTAAACTCTTAGCCTTGATTAGGGATGGACAGAATACCCAAAGTTATAGGTACGTAACGGTAATTATCTGCCCATTTAAACTTTACAGTTACGGTTCAGTTCGTAAAGAAACCCCTAACCCTAAGGCCATCCTTATTCCCACAAGATAATAATCATATCCATATAATATTAGGAATTCCTTTAGCCTTCACTTACAAGTAACGACACCAATAAAGGCCATACTTTAGGTTGGATCATATTGAATAATTTCCAGCATCTACATCATAATGGAGCAAGATCAGGTAACTTCGAATGAAGACTTACACGTTGTTTAACACATGTTGTATAATGGTATTTGTTTCTTTCCTCGAATGGAGACTTACCCATTGTTCAATCCGTAACAGAAAATTGTATGTTTAAGAGCATCTTCAACGCTGAGATAAAAACTTTTGTTGTAAAAACTATGTTTACGATCTATTTACATTCAACAGAGAGATCATGTGAGTTCCCATTTTTTCTTGGCAAAAAGAGGGCCTGGGCAAATACCCTGGTGGGTATAGCTACAGATAATTCTCTATAGTTAATTTTTGGTTATTGATATGGTTAATTTTTATGGTTATAAGAATAAATATGACACGTACATCCCTACATCAAACTGTTGTCATCTATGTTGACAATCTAGTTTTGAGGCAAAAAAATATATGAAAGAAAAAATTTGTATGGAGTTTTGGTGTGCGGAATAAGGACGATGGTTAAGTATTTATAAGAGACAAAGTCATAATTTATTTTTTTTTTGGATTTAGAAGAAAAAAAAATCTGAAAGTTTATAATTTTTTCTATAATTTTTGAATGAATTCTGTTTTTTAATTTTTATTAGGAAACAAAAGGGATTGTTACACTGGAGTATGAATAGTGTACCAGATCGAGCCACATGTACCTTTGCCCTTTGGTCCCATTCACTTGGTGCTGTAAAACACACGCTCGACACAAAAAAAAAAAAAAAAAAAAGAGGAGAAAAATGTGGCTGACGTCAACGTGCTGTCATCTTGCCTTTCGGCAAGCCCTTGGGCCAGGATTTTGCTTGGCTGCTGCATTGATTTAGTCTCGTGCCTTTGCAGGGCCGGACTCTTTTGACCAAGATTTTGAAACAATAAACAAAGCTCGTGACAATTATTGTATTACAATCAGGATTCTTTCTGGATTATTTAGATGAGAATTTTAGGAATCTGTAAATTATATTTTTTTTATTGTACGTTTTGCGATTATTTTTTATCAAGTACTGTTTATGTTTATTTTTAAATAAAAATGTTTAAAATATTTTTTTATCACACGATTTACAAATTCTTGTAATCCTCATAAAGAGTATCCGAACTCATTGCATTATGCTTGAATGCATTAAGTGCTTGCACTAGATTCGTATTGCCACCAATTCTTCCTTTTCTGGTCACGATGAATCACCAGCATCATGTAATTGGGGGAATTATATCGGTTTTCCACAATTTTCTTGTAGATGATGATAAGGAAGTTAAGGTCGGGTTGCAAAATGCTCTCGGAAATATCAAACTTGTGGCTCCCACAATCCAGAAAGATCGTGTCAATATAAGTGTCCCTTGAAAATGTTAAAGTTGGAACCGATGATACGAAAGAAAAATTATTTTCTACAGAGTTTTAACGAAAAGTTTGTGGTACTGTTCATTTTAATAAAAAATCACATTTTTATACTAAAAAGTTAATCATGGTACTATTCACTTTACCTTTTATTTTTATCATTATCGTTAAAACTCAAAATTTTCAAATCATTTTTATTAGTTTTTCTTATTTTCTATATTGCAGTAGAATCCTATGATATTTCAATAAAGGAGCTTATGGCGGCAGTGCTTCGTTATGTGGGCAATGGGCAGTAATTGAAAGGTATTTAGGAGGGAATCGGATCTCCTATAGATCTTTGTAGACTGAGCCTTCTGATTAAAGGATCCGGACCGTTGAAATTTGATCTAACGGCTATAGTTATTATAATTTTTAGAGGGACCCCCTGTTTAGAGTCGTTTGATCAAATTTTAACAGTCCAGATCTTTTAGTCAGGAAACTCAGTTTCAAAGGGTCTGGAAGGGATCCGGTTCCTTTTAGAAGCTCAATATGTCAGTTGCACGACTTCCAAGTCATGAAAAAGTGTCATTGATCAATTATTTTCTACATCGAAATTGAGCATGTTTATGATATGTGGGTAAGCTTATGATGTAGCAACTATTATGAAAGGTGAGTTCAATGATCTCAAAAGTATCATTTGAGAGAACACTCGTGTGCATTAAATTTATGTTTGTTGTTTTGTACATCAACTTTAACTAGTACTTGTGGCTGTAGCAAAGGAAATGGTAAGATGGCTGTTTTTTTCACATAGGCTAATGTTTTGGTCAATGTTGTTGGAGTACTGCGTAGGCATCTTGAAACACTTAGAGATACGATATTTTAGATTCTCTTGAGAATGATTGTTTTACAACGGGGCGAGGCTCATAAAAAAAATAGAAAACTTCATTTTAATCCTTGGCAAAGATGATTTTTTGATTAAAATCATAAGTAAGATCAAAATCTAATTTTAGTCCCTTGATACATTAATAACCTCATTTATTAATTATATTTTGATGTTTTAATTATTTATCTTTTTCTTTCTAATTTTTCATGTATTAATTTTATTTCATTATAATTTTTATTTTCATTTCATTCATCGTAATATATTTTGTTGTGAACATTTAGATAAACTAATTTTTGTTATACAATATATTTCGATGTACTTTATCTTCTTCATTTTGGTATATTAAATTCATTATAATACATTTCAGTGCATACATTTAAGTACACACATTTCGGTACATGCATTTCAATACAAACATTTAGGTGCATTAATTCAATATAATACATTTTCGGTACTGACAGTTCGGTGCATATATTTCGGTACACACATTTAGATACATTAATTTAATATTAATACATTTTGGTTCATATATTTAGGCACATACATTTCAGTACTAACATTTAAATATATTAGTTCAATATAATATATTTCCGTACTAAAATTTAGGTACATTAATTGAGTCTTTCAAGTTTGAAGAATGTTAAATAAAATTAATAAATTAAAAAACTCTTTTTTGGTCAAAAAATAAATTAAAATTTGTGTATTAATAAATTTAAATATTTAATGGGAGACATTAAATAAATGCATATTAATTATTTTGAATTAAGGACACATTAGGAACTAAAATCAATATTCAATCTAACACCAGGATTTTTTTAAATTTTAATCTTCTTGAAGGAATTTGTCTCAAGCAACCCAATGATACACGTTGGGAATCACATTATGGTACATTGATTAGTATCATTTCTATGTTCAACTCCGTTGCTAAGGTGCTAGAGTTGATTATCCAAGGTGATAGTATTGATATGGGTGAAACGATTAGGACATTGGAACACATCCAACCTTTTGAGTTTGCCTTCCTCTTCTTTTTTATGAGATCTATATTAGGAGTCACAAATATTTTGTCACAAATACTACAAGGAAAAGATCAAGACCTTGGAATTTACACATGAACAATAATATATATATATATATATATATATATATATTATAGAATGACATATTTATAGTAAGGGAATGGGAGTAAGTTGATTTTGAGCCCGTCATTTACGAGATTCAAACTTATACCCTCTCATATCCAACTTACGAGAAAAAGAATACCACTAATTTGAAGTGTACCTTGCTCAGGGCTGGTTTCTCTCATTTTCTCTTCTTTCCTCCTAGCCCCTTCCCCATCCCCTTCCCATTGCCACCTTCCCCCTCCCCCGACTGGATTTTTTTTTCCCGATTTTTTTATTTTTCTTCTCTCTTCCTCTCCCCCCACTTTCTTGTTGGCTTCCACCACTCTCGGGGTTCCCTTTTTCTCTATGCTTGTGACCTGCCCTTCTGCTGCCTCTGGTTGTCGGATTGTGAGGTCATGGCTTATTTTCCTGGCATCTTTTGCTAATTCAAAGCGTTTTCGTCGTTTTCCCGGCATTTTTCATAGTTTTCCCATTTCTCTCCCACCCAATTTTCTCTCCCATGCTTTCCCGCGTCTCACTTCTCACCCAACCATAAACTTGTTCTTGAAGTGCTTGACCTGATTAGTTCCCTGGATCCACATGCCACAACCCCTTGTCGTACCGGCATATGCCGAAAAATTTGAACAAAGTGTGGAACGATTTACATTGTAACAAGGTATTTTACATACTCCCTTCGACCCTTCCATTTTCTTTTTCCCGTTTGATCTCTTGGTTCTCTTTGCAAATATTGCTGTCAGCATTTTAGATCTCGGGGGTTCGATTTAGTTCGGCATTTCAAGCTTAATCTTATGGTCTCTGTGTGTGTTTGTATTTGGTGTAAGCATAGAGCGTACAGCGGGTGTGGCAGGTTGCTATCCGATGTTGGAGATTAGGGATTTTTTTTTTTGTTGCTTTTGCTGGGCTTAAGTTTGTTCAGGCCGCCCAGTTTTGGGTTGCAGCTCAGCATTTGAGTTGGCCTTTTATTGTTGCATTTCCTTTCTTAACTTCTGTACTAGTTCCTGATTTTAATGAACAAAAAAAAAACGGAAGAAATATATATCAAATTGGACAATACTTGGGTCCTGACCAATTAGGACTTTTTATACTGACAATCCTATGTGGACAATCAAATAAAGACACGTGTCCTACTTGAACTTAATTAAAACTGGTTGCCAAACAATTAATATTCTAGTAGTATCCATGCAATCTTCTTTCTCCCTCACCAACCTTTGCTCTCCCTCGGGTCGTCGACGGCCGATATCTCACCCCCATCACTCCTCTCCTCCAGGGTTGGCCCAAGCCAAGTACAGGCAGCGCGACCGTCTGGGGAACAACCACATGCCTGTACCAACATTGAAAACAAACAAAAAGTTTATCAAAATGCAAAAAGAATTTGAAAAATGAAGAAAAATCGAAAGAAAACGAAGCAGAAAGGAGCGTACCTGTACTCGTAGATATCATCGAAGTACTTCTCGGAGTACTAGATCTGACCCTGCTATTTAAACCCCAAACCACGATTTCAAGCAAAATCTCGAACAGGGTTTTTCAAATTTCGCAGTTTAATCTGCAAAATAAAGACGGTTTTCAAGAAATACAAAGAGATTGAAGTTCTAGAGAGAGAAAGTAGAATTCAAATTGAAGAGAGAGAGAGAGAGAGGAGAAGAAAGTGCTTTTAGCTCAGAGAGTACGGAGACGAATCGAACAGCACAGAAATCCTACCTTTTCAATCAGTTTTTTTTTTAGGCATGAGGTTTTGAATAGGAGGGATGGCGTGGGTATAATTTAACACCTAATCTAACATATCTATAGTTTGACAAAAAAATAAAAAATAAAAAATAAAAAATAGGAGGGATGGCGCAAACATAATCTAATATATCACACGCGAGAGGTTTTTTTGCATCACGGGCGCTACACGCCCTAAAGATGTGTTGTTTTAGATATTCTAATATTTCTTAAGTGATTATTTTATAAATTAAGCAACATATATTCCATCCAATTTGCACATATGTGAGTAATCTCTCGTACAATTTGGCTTCACTCAAAGAAAAAGTAAATAAATAAAAAACCACATGTTTGGCAAGCGTCTCATTTTTTAATTAAGGGATCAACTTTTATTACCCAAAACGATCCTGTTGCATTGTGAGAATGTTTGAAAATAGTTGTACGTACATGTACAAACACACTAGTTGTAGACAATCTCTACCAACATGTATATGCATCTACACAAATTATTAACACAAAATAATGGTTAAACATACAACAAAACGTGGAAGAGAAACAAAGAGAGTAATAGTAAGACTATTTTAAGTCACTATGTACGTTGTAAGTCTTTGCTTCTTAGTATTCTCTTAGCTTTTGTAAACTATGTTTCTACAAAGTAATTTAGTAATCAAATTAACTTTCAGCAATACAACCAAAGTTAAAATTTAAAACAATTAAGTAATGGAATCATTAAACGAAACCAAACACTAATACCCTAAAAGTATCGTGATAGCCCCCATATCAAAGAAACAACGTTTTAAATTGATTAAAATGGCTAGCACACCTTAAAAACAAATAAAACCTAACCATTTGTTTTTTACTGCTCCTTCAAAACTATAGTTCTTGTCTTCGGTAGCCTCATATAATTCATCATCAGTTTGTTTTATTTTTATTTTTATTTCTTTGGATATTTCAACATCTAAATGCAATGAGATTACCAAGTCTATAATTGTAGAAATTAAGAAAACAACATAATTAACATTCTACAATCAATTCATAAACTGTAAGTTTCATCAAAAGTCTGGTGCCAAGAAAAAAAAAATTATAGGAAAAAAAAAGTGCAAGTCAATTCAAATGAAGAGATTTCTTCCAAGCAGGGTTTACAAACAAATGCCATTAAACGATACGAAGTCTACAACTTTAATCCAATATATAATGTAACTCAAATGTTTTAGTTAGGAATTACCTGTGAAGTACACGAATATGTGGTACCATGGTAGTCTAATTTTACTTCTCTTTTCCATACACTCTTAACTAACCCACCGCCTACCAGTATAAATTTGGCTTTGATTGTCTTCATTGCCAACATGCCCCAACAAATGGGTTGAACAACGCCCCATGGGTTCTTTTGTTAGTGAAACTGCAGTGAAAACACACCAATATACGTTAGAGGAAATAGAGCATACTTTGATAATTGCACATACCATATCTGATCTTCTCCAAAGTACTGTAAACAAAGAATGGAATCCAAAAATTCAAAGGCCTTAACACCATAGATGCCTTAACACTGAAGATGCATCATTTTTAATGTCTTACACAATGAGTAACCAAACACCATCAATAGATACAGTAAAACCAACGAATGACAGCGTCATCAAACATATTTGATCACATACCGTTACAATTAGTAATATATATTGCTTTCCGATAAACAAAAGAGAAACGCTGTGCATATACTGATATACATAGTTAGTATATTACATCCTTTTGCCCCTTGTATTAAAAAATGTTTTAGATATTTGTGGATATCAAATTACACCTGTGATCCCTCGTGCTAACTGACAAATAAATCCACCCTCCCTGGATTAGCCTCTACCGGTTTCAAGTTTCAACTCATAAGGAAGGCAGGTTAGATACCTTTGGCTGGGTTGTATTTCTGGTTGAAATGGAATGGTGATAAAACTCCCGAAATGCAGTCCAGGCCATTCCCTTTCCGACTGGACTGACTAGGGAAAGGGACAATCTCATCCAGATCATGATCATGCTGGACAGCCACTTATTCGTCCTGCAACACCAACCATAATGTCATCTCAATTATCACTAACAAACAGATTAAATATCCTCAGTTTTCTACACGCCCCTATTCCCAGAAGATTCTGGATAAAATTGAACCTAATGCATCCAATATAAAATTAAAACATGCATAAAAATAGAGAGAGAGAGAGAGAGAGAGCATTTCTATACCAATCGTTTGGGAAAACTGATGCAAGAAACGGAAGATTTCATTCGAAATGGTGCTGTAGTGTAGTTGGTTTGGCCAAGTAGTGGACAAAAGAACGGTTTCATGTTTTGAAGCATCAAATTAACATCTAAACTCAAAACCTTGTCATCTTGATTTTTGGACCCGTGCCGCTGCCAAAGGGTGTTAGTGTTTTGTATTCGAATTAGGCTTTGATTTTATAAATTGAAAACTGAAAATCGATGAAAAAGTGAATTAGTTGATCAATGAAGATGAGATACCTTTTCGGTTACTTTGCAAATAGTCTGATGAGTACCCAAGTATTTTCTTATCAAAGTTATCAATATCAAACAAGTTTGTGTAAAAAGAAATAAATTAATTAATTGAAAAAGGGAATTGTTATTAGCATTCCAAAAATCTCATTTTACGCTCCAAACTTTCTATTTTAAGAAAGAAAAATAAATTGCAAACAATATAAAATGAGATTTTTGAAATACCAATAACACTTCTATCGAAAAAAAAAAATAAAGTAAAAAAGAAAAGCCCACAGCCACCCCAACTACCCCACTCCGCTGAAAGCAACCACCTGCCACTCGCTCTTCAGACTTACTAACGCGTCTTTGGCGAAGGTATCGTCCCCAATCTCTGTATCCATCTACTAATTTACTGGCTTATTTAATAAGCACATTCACTGTAAATATATTTTAGGTTGTAATTTCGTCAGTACTATAAAGCTATTTTTTTTCTTTATTATTTTGAATCGAATTTGTGCTCAAATGTTTACTGTTATTTGTGTGATCAATCATTATGTTAAGGATGAATTGATTTCATTAATTTAGTGAATTTAGCTCACCTGATGCAAATGCTGGTCTGGTTACTGATTAGTTTATCAATATCTCTGATTTTATGAGATGGGTTTTGTTTAGTTTGGGGTATCAGATTGGATTAGGTTTTAGTTCTTGAGATTCACTGGGTTTGGGACCAATTAATGTGGGCTCTTGCTTCGAGAATTTGAGCATTGTTCTGTTTGGGTTTACCTGAATGTTCAGTATTCAGTATTCACTGATCAGACTATGTGGTTCTCAGTTTATGACATATCATTTTATTTAAGCTTCTAGGGTTTTCTCGGGATGCAGTTGTTTCATATAACCAGCATTCGCTTTCCCGCTCGTCTATTGGGTTTTTCTCAGGTTGGGAGCTTTTGATGGCTGTTGAGTTTCTGTTTCTGATTTTTTGTTTCAGTCTTTTCTAGTATGGGAATTGTTTTACACATCATGCTGCACTCCTCCTTTGATTATGTTTTTGGATATGAAAGAGTGCGTCATTGATTATGTTTTTGGAGTGCTAAGACAAGTTGGTAGCGTTCCCCTTAGGCAAAACTGGAACCCTGTACTCATCTTCTCCCGAAGGAAAATCTTATATTGCGGTTATGCACACATTACCTTTAATTATTGGAAATTTTTTAAATGATATTTCATAAACTTAGAACCACAAAATCTGATCAGTGAGTACTACTGAATACTGAACATTTATCGTAATTGTAATTCGGATGGTAGTTGCTGACCTTTTTACCGTTTGATTTGCTCTTTTTTACATGTAGACGGATGGAGAGTGCTAGAATAGCAAGGTGTAGCTATCGTTCATTAACGGTTGTCATTGCATTGTCTGAAAATAGTAAATATGTGGATATTTGTAATGAGATATGTTTAAGGTTTAAGGAACTGAAAGTGGGAAGCTTTGAGCTGACGTATTCTCTTCCTGAGCACCCTAATTGTTTGCTGCAATCCGATATGGACGTGAGTATTATGTTGCTATGTTTAAAAGTGTTGAAGAGTAATTTTATTGATATATTGGTGAAGGACCTTCTGAGTTCAAATAATGAAGATGATGATCAAAATCAAGAAGAGTCCCATCATGCAACTTCTAACGATGCAGTGTCTAATCGTACAGCGCCATTGTCGTGCACCTTAGAAAGTCATAGTGCCAATGATGAAAATGAACTTTTGAGAGTGGAAGGGGACAATAGATTTTTGTCTCAGGATTGGAAGGAATATATTAGTCATGTCGGTCAGAGGTTTAAGGGGGGTGTAACTGAATTTCGTAACAAGTTAATCAAGTATGCTGCTCAGATGAGATTTCGTCTTGTTTATGCAAAGAATGATAAAGAACGTATCACTGCTGAATGTTTTAAGAAGAATTCAGATGGATGTAAATGGCGTGTACATGCTTCGCTATGTGGAGGGAATGGTTTTTTCTACATAAGGAGTTTGAATAATGTTCACACGTGCACTAGTGATTATGAAAAGCAGAAAACGAGAAGCATGGGTTCAAAGGTTATATCTTCTGTCCTGGTGGATCAAATCCGTGAGAAACCAATGATTAAACCAACAGATATTGTGAAGGATTTTAAGCAAAAGTATGGTCTTGATATCTCTTACCATGGTGCACGGCGAGGGAAGGAGTTGGCTAAGAGCGAGGTTCATGGTGATGAAACCTTATCTTACAATCAATTACTTTGGTACAAAGATACTTTAATGTCAACCAATCGGGGGTCACATTGTGTCTTGGAGTGTGATCTGCAGACTTCTCGCTTTCAGAGATTGTTTATTTGCTATGGTGCTTGCATTGAGGGATTTCAATGGTGCAGACCTTTGTTGTTCATGGATGCAACTTCTTTTAAAAGTAAGTATAAGGGGCAGCTAATTGGTGCTATCGGGAAGGATGGAAATCAAGGTATGATTAGTTATTTTTTGTGACTATGATGACTGATGTGTTGCTGTACATCTACATATTTCGTATGTTGTGACTCTTGGTAAGTTAAAATATATAGGTTGTTGAAATACCATATACTCATCCATTGTCTGTATATCTTATTGGTTTTTAGGATTTTTCCCGTTTGCTTTTGCTATCGTGGCCTCAGAAAGCAAGGAAAACTGGAGCTGGTTCTTTGAAAATTTAGCTAAAGTTTTGACACCACAAGGTAGGACAATTACATTTGTATCTAATCATGACAGAGGTGTGGCTGGAAATGTTTCAAGCATATTTCCAACATCCCATCATGCATTTTGTTTGAATGATATGAAACAGAACCTCGCATCTAGGTATCTGGCTACCTATGGTAAATTTTTTCAAGACCGAATTGATGATCTTTTTACGGAATGCGTTTCTGCTCCAACGGAAGCTGCTTTTGACATTAATATGAAAAATTTAAGAGATGAGGGTGGTGCTCCTATGAAGACCTTTCTGGAAAAATTTCCAAAGGAGAATTGGTCATGTGCCTACTTTAAGGGTAATCGATACGGTGACATGTACAGCACTGTTTCTGAATTATTTCAATCTTGGACGTTGGAGCTATCTGTCTTGCCTATATGTCAAATGGTTGACGGAATCAGGATTAAACTCATGGGAATGATGTCTGAAAGGAGTTGTGAAGCGGAGCAATGTAGTTCTATTCTCTGTCCCGAGATGGAGAAAACCTTGAACGAAATGCTGATAGTTGGTCGCCATTGGAATGCCATCCGTTCTTGTGGTTCTGTTTTCGAGGTTCTTGCTGAAGGTTCTTTTACGGTTGATTTGGATAATCGTTTCTGCTCCTGTCATTAGTGGCAAATGAAAGGCTTTCCCTGTGCTCATGCACTTGTTGCCGTTCGAAAAAATTCTGGTTACGTGTACAACTACATTGATGATTACTTCAAGGTGAGCCACTACAGAAGTTCGTACGCGAGTAATATTTTGCCGCTGCCGGACGTTAAGGACGCGGTTCATGAGGGATCGGAAGATATGGTCGTCCTACCTCCGCTAACTCGGCAGCCAAAGAAGAATAAAAGAAAATCTGTTGAAAAAGTTACGAGGCCGATCAAATGTGGTCGATGTGGTGCAGTTGGAGGGCATAATAAGAAGACATGTACTGCAATTATTTGATTTTTGTTTTCGCGGTTTTTTTTTTTTTTTTTTTTAATTGTAGGACAACAATTAGATGTTGTGGTTTTTTCTGAAAGCAAAATTTACAAGCTGTGTTTTACAAGTCAGAACCATTCAACTGCTAGATCAAACGGTTAGCATTTTACATTTCTGATCCATGAATACGATAAATTTAATCTCATGTGTTAGAAATTAATAGGTGCTCATTGTTGCTCGAATTTTGCCATTTAGGTGGAAACAATAAAATACCATTAAGTTAAACCGTTTAACTCTTTTTTAATAGAGCGATAACGTTAGTGGGTTAAATTGTTAGTTGTTAGGGAGAGTGGAATTCATGAAGATCAAACCTTCACCAGAGTGCACATGCATGATTTAAACATGCTTTCTAATAAATATGGTGAAAGAGGAATCGAACTTAAGAGGTGTGGGAATCGAACTTAAGACCTCTCACTTACAAGTTATAAGTGAAGAGGAATATCACTAGACCATAGTTAAGTGGCGATAATACTTACGTACAGTTCTAAGGGTGTGAGGGCCGAACAATTTACATGGAACGGTTCACAGCATGTGATGTCTCAATCTAATAACACATTTTTATGTGGAGAAAAACTTGCATATGACAATGCATTATTATACGAGAAATGTCACGTGGCAATAAACCTGTTTCATATAAATCATTTTCAAGTAAGGAAAGAGAGAAAAGGTGGATGAGCTTCAAGCTCGGGTAAGAAGGGCCAAAAGCACTTGATTTTTCTATGACACTAGCCTGAGAAGGACAAAAGCTAGAGACTAGAGGCTTTATTTGGCCTCTCAAAATGCCGTTATTCATAAAATCTATTCCTGTCAAAATTTTATTGTTGTAATAGTGTGAGGCCAGGGTTTAAAAAGTACCAAGTGTCTCATTTTCATTGGCTGTTGTGATTGTCTCAAATGCCCTCTTTAGGAGTTATGGTTAAGACCTGGGGCTGATTTGGGCTCACAAAGTGCTTGGGCTCCAACTAGCCTAGGCTAATTGGGTGCCTTAGAAAGCGTTTCTTTGTATCTTGGGACCAAGATCTTCTTTTAATATGGGCTAAAAGACTTGAAATTTATATATTTTTGGTTAGGATTGGGGACGTGGAATCGAAACACGAACCAAACTAGATCACACTAAACGGTTTGGTTTTTGCAGTTTTGAAATGGTTTCAGTTTGAAATCAAACCACAAATTGAAAAAACGGTTTTGTTTCAGTTCTTAATATTTGAAGTCGAAATGAACTCAAACTGCACCGAATAATATAAAAATATTTAATTTAAGACCCAATTAGGTGTTGGGGTCTAATTGGTTATTGAATCGGGTAGTAAAAATCATTTCAAGTAAAAGAACTTTCTTGTTTTTTTTTTCAATGTGTTTGGTTACTTTTGTAAGCTTTTTAAAATTTATAACAATTAATGTAATTTATATTGTGTATTTGTAGAGTTAGCCATTTCGAATTCAAGCATAGCCTCTCTTATACTTAATCCACAACCACAACAACTCCAAGGCAATCTCAAGCTTCTAATTAACAAGGTTTAATGGCTTTTCATCCATTGGTTTCACATTCACAAGGTGAATTTTAATATGGTGATCATCATGAATTTTTTATTTTTTTTTTTCAATTGAGTTTTGTCAATGACATAAAGCATTTAGTTTGCAAATGATTAGGTTTTGAACTTTTGAGTTTGAATGTTGAAAACTTATATTAATGCCAATTTATTAACAGGCCTACAAGTAAGGTAAAAACCGAAACCAAAATTGTTTAAAACCTAACCGAACCGAACCAAAACCAAATCATTCTTACCCCAAAATCGCATTGAATTGAAATAAATTTTAGTTTTGATTTCAGCTTTACCCTAAAACACCGAAAGAAATCGTGCCCACCGGTATTAGTTTGGTAGAGACGACTAGAAAGTTTAATTGTGCAAGAAAAGACTTGAAAACTGAAAAATAAACCTTGAGAAAGGCAAGGAGCTGCCGTCCCGAGAAATTGGGTCTTTGCTCGCATAAAAATCCGGCTTAAGGTAAAACTGCTGCCGAAGCCCAAAAACATTCAGAAACTAGAGAGCCAGAGAGTTGCTCCCATTTCGCAGCCTTCCTCTTGTTTGCTCTCCCAGTTCCTCTTCTCTCAAGGTTCATCTATCTCTCTCTCTCTCTCTCTCTCTCATGTACTCAATCAAATAAAACTAATAATTTTCTGAAAATTCAGGGTTATTGCAGAGTTTTCAACTTAACAGATTTTATGATGCAAAAATGTTATTGGATATCCTATTGTCGTTTATTTCTGGCCGTCGGATTGAATAAATCAAATGGAAACAACTGACAACGAAGCTTTTCCGGCTTTTCTAGGTTCTAATTATTTGTTTCTCTTTGTGATGAATGTCGTAAGTACAAAATTATGTTACTTGTTCTGCTCTGTTATTCCTTTGTCTTATAAAAGATCATATCAGAACAAATATTGATCAAATAGAGTGAAAAATTACAATAGCGAACCCGCGCATTGAAGGTAAAAGGAAAAGAAATTTGAAGCCCCCAACTCTACCTTGAGCTTATGCTACAATGTGCGTTCGATATAAAAACACAGGCTACCTCTATGATCTGTGGATTCTCAATGCGCAAATGCTAGGATATGTCACATGTTCATCGTAATTTTGATGTTAGAATGGTAGCTCTTGACTCATTTCGTGTTTAATCGTGTCTTACATGTACAGATGGAGGGTGTTAGAATAGCAAGGTGTAGGTATCGTGCTGTAACTATCCTGATTGCGTTGGCTGAACATACTAAATATGGGGATATTGATAAAGAGATATGTTCAAGGTTTAAGGACCTGAAGGCGGGGAGTTTTGAGCTGACATATTCTCTTCCCGAGCATCCTTCTTGTTTGCTGCAATCAGATATGGATGTCACTTTGATGCTAATGTGTTTATCGATGTTGAAGATTAGTTTTGTTGATTTACTGGTGAAGGATGTTGTGATTTCAAATAATGAAGATAGTGATCTTACGGCATCTAATGACCAAGCTTCTAATCGTGCAGCTACTAATCATGTAGCGTCTTCTTCATGCATGGTAGAAAATTGTGCTATTGACGAGAATGAACATTTGGATAACTCCGGGTTGCATGAAAGCAATAAATATCTGTCTCAGGGTTGGAAAGAGTATATTAGTCATGAAGGCCAGAAGTTTATGGGTGGTGTAGACGAATTTCGTAGCAAGTTGCGTAAATATGCAGTTGGGATGGGATTTAGTTTTGTTTATCGAAGCAATGATAAGGCACGGGTTATTGCTGAATGTTCTAAGAAGAGTTCAGATGGATGTAAGTGGCGTGTTTGTGCTTCAGTATGTCGAGCTAATGGTTTTTTCTACATAAGGACTTTAAATAATGTGCACTCGTGCACGGGCAATGTCCATGAGCAGAATAGTGCGATGATAACTTCAAAGATGATATCTTCTCTTTTAGTCGATCAAATCCGTGAGAAACCGTCAATTAAGCCTATAGATATTGTCAAGGATGTTAAGCAGAACTATGGCCTTGATATTTCTTACTATAATGCATGGCAAGCGAAACAAATGGCTAAGAGTGAGGTTCATGGTGATGAATCATTGTCTTATAGTCATTTAGCTTGGTATCGTGATGCTTTAATATCAACCAATTCTGGGTCATACTGTGTTGTAGAGTGTGATCCAAACACTTCGCGCTTTCGGAGGCTTTTTGTTTGTTATGGTGCCTGTGTTGAGGGCTTTCAGTGGTGCAGGCCTTTGTTGTTCATAGATGAAACTAATCTGAAAAGCAAGTACAAAGGGCAGCTAATTGGTGCGACAGGAAAGAATGGAAACCAAGGTATAATTTTGCATGTAATATGTTATGACTGTCGATGAGTTACACACGTTTATGTATATACATGTAAGCATATGTCTATGTGTAGACATCCTTATCTTTGAAATACCAATTAATCATCTGTTGTCTATTTTTATGTAGGATCTTTCCCCTTTGCTTTTGCTATCGTGGACAAAGAGAACGAGGAAAACTGGAGATGGTTCTTTGAAAATTTAGCTAAAGTTTTGACTCCGCAAGGTAGGACCGTTACATTTGTAATTGATCATAACAATGTAATTGATCACAACAAAGATGTGATTGAAGCTATTTCAAACAGATTCCCAACATTCCATCTTGCATTTTGTTTGAAGAATTTGAAAGAGAACCTTGTATCTAAATATCACTCTGGCTATGGTAAATTTTTCCGGGATGGAATTTGTGATCTTTTTATGAAATGCGCTTATGCTCCAACAGAAGCTGCTTTTGAGCTAAGCATGAGAAATTTAAAGGACGAAGGTGGTGCTCCGGCTAAGACTTTTTTAGAAACTTTTCCTGAAGAAAATTGGTCATATGCTTATTTTAAGGGCAATAGATATGGCGAGATGCATAAGAATGTTTATGAATCATTTCATTCTTGGATTTCGGAGCTTTATATGATGCCCATCTGTCAAAAGCTTGAGGGAATCAGGATTAAACACATGGTAATGATGTCTGAAAGGAGTCGTGAAGCAGAACAATGGCGCTCTATTCTCTGTCCTGAAATGGAGAAAACCTTGAAAGACATGTTGATGGTTGGTCGGCATTGGAATGTTAGCAGTTCTAGTGATTCTGTTTTTGAGGTTCATGCTGATGTTTCTGTTGTGGTTGATTTGGATAATCATTTTTGCTCCTGTCATGAGTGGCAACTAAAGGGCTTTCCCTGTGCTCACGCGCTTGTTGCTGTTCAACAAAGTTCTGGTTGCGTGTATGACTACATTGATGATTACTTCAAGGTGAGCCACTATAGAAGTTCATATGCAAGTCCTATCTGTCCCGTAACTGACATTAAGGATGCGGTGTACGAGGGTTCCGAAGATGTTATCCTACCTCCGGGTAATGGGAAGGGTAGACCGAGGACTAAAAAGATGAAAACTTCTGGTGAAGGTCCAAGGGCCATTACATGTGGTCAGTGTGGAGTGGTTGGACGGCATAATAAGAAGACGTGTCCAGAAAATAGTTGATTCTTTTACAGCATTTTGTTGCAGTGTACAAAAGAATTTATGCTGGGTTTTTGTACTCTTTCTTTTCCAATTTTGAGTGGTTCGGATTGAAACTGCCAAACGATTACTGAAGCAAAAGGTAAACACAAAGCTAACATTAGAATTATTGATTGCACTTTCTCACTTACAACCTGGCTTTTTGTTTTACAAACCGAGAAACATGGGCACGACCTGTTTGGTTGCTGTATGAAGAACATGGGATGCCCCTGACTATACCTTGTGTTCCTGATCTATATAGGTTTGATTCTGCATGTTTACTTCTTTGCTTAAGTTCTTAGCATTGAATTTGTAGGTGTCGTTGTTGTTTAATGCATATGTTACTCGATTCCTTTGTAGTTAGTTTTGATGCAAGTGTAAGATTGCTTCCTTTGTGATTGGATGATCTCGCAAATTTTCTGTTATACGAAATCAGATTTAAAGCAGACTTGTCTGAGCATGCATGTGGCTGTTGCAAATGTCATGAAGTTCGGATCTTTTGCTAATTATCTTTTCCACTTATGTAGTTGTTTCGATCAGTTTCATTCGATTCAGGATTCATTTGCTTTGTATCTTCATTGCTGTATGTTTTCTGGATTGTGCCCCCTGGATGTTCACTAGGGTTTCAGCTGGATGAAGGTCGAAACTGGAAAAGGGTGAAAGATGTGCAATGATTTGCCTCGCCCAGAAGGGAGAGGGTGCCGGCGGTTATATTCAACGTTTTATGCCCTTCTGGTTTATAGATTTTTATGCAAAATTGTGTAAGCTCGTAATGTATATGGATCAGTTTCAAGTAGGGATCGGCATTGGGCGTACCCAATGCCCATACCTGTTTGCGGAATATCATCTCTACAAAAATGACGATGGAAAGCATGCCAAGGACGATGAAATTTCTGTACCTTAGGTATCGTTTGGTATGCAGACGGGATGGGACGGGACGGGACAGGACGGAACGGAACGGAGCGGGAGCAAAGATGCCCTCGGATGGAAACAAGGAGGAAGAAGGAGACGGAGAGGTTATAATTTTGTGTTCCACAGATGTGGAACGAGTCGTTCCAGGGGGTGAGGTGGAACAAAAATTCACCCAAAACTCGTCTCGTGAAACAGCTCGTTCCACCCGTTTTAGGCGCACCAAACGTGGAACGGAACGCCTTGTCCCACTCTATTCCGTCCCGTCCCACGTACCAAACGGTACCTTAAAGAACAAGAAATTAGGATGTTGGAGTAAGAAATAAATGTTTCCTTGAATTAGATATTTAGTCATAAGGTGTTCATATCCTACAGTTTTTGCGGGACTAGAAGGGACAAATTTCCTTCGTGGTCAACCTCAACTTACATAAAAATTGAAAGTTGGTCTTAATTTTTTTTTTTTTTCAACGTACCTTGAAACTCACCAAACCCAGTAATAGGCACCCTAAGTTTTAGTTGCGAACTTGTTTTGACTTTTTAACCGATGAGAGGGAGGATTTGAACTCGAAACTCCTTCCAATATCAAAAAAGAGGTATTAGTAGACTAATAACTAGTTGGCAAACTCATAAGACTATTGATTCATTGGCCTTGTTGAAGTATTGTGAAGAGAAAAACATTTGTCTTTGGATTTTCGATTTTTCTTGATGTATATGTTTTGAACAATTTTTTGTTGCACTAGACTGTGATTTTAGACCACACATTCAAGCAATAATCGACTTGATCAATAGTCCAGGTTCATAATTTGGCTAAAGACGATGCCCCTTGTACATTATCGTTTCTATTTTTATACTCTATACATGCCAGTAGTTGATACTACTTTGTGCAGACGTACTTGTATATTTCCATGTAATAGCAGTGTATATAAAACTCTACCTTTGAGGTTTGAACTGTACACATGCCATGTGCAGGTGGGATGATTCTTAGAAGCAATCCGTTCAAGGATTACCGAAGGCAATGTAAATAGTTCTCTTTCACGCTCCAATGTCATGAATTAGTAATTTACCTCGCAGTTCTCCTGTATCTGTCTGTATGGATTTATAATTTTGTATGTTCATTTGTACATAGCCGATCCCTCCATTTAGCGAGATAAGGCTATGTTGTTGTATTTCTACATGCAGACCAACGGAGAATGCTAGAATAGCGAGGTGTAGTTGTTGTTGACGTGAGTGAATGCTATATTTCATGCGTGAGCAATGCATGCTCAGAGGAACATGGTTTACAGATTACAAAGATTTTAATTACATCAACACCTAGCAAGTACTCATATGCATGTTTTTTGAGCAATTCATCCATTTTTTTTGTTCGTTTCAACGAGCCATTTTCCCATCTCATACATATTTCTCGTTGGGGGAACTTACACCTCTAGGAACAACGCAAATAGATCATAGAACCCACAATGAGTTCAGTCTACTAAGTAGTCCGGTTTTTTTTTAAACAATTACAATTTGATTTCTTAGAGTTATTCTTGAAGCCAATGTTCATCGTTTATTTTCTGGAACACTCAACAATCCCGAACTATTCACAAAAATTGGGATAAAGAGGACCCAGCTACAATCTTATAAAGTTCTTATTTCGTCATTTTCTCAGCAACAAAACAAATAAAATTAAACAAACTTACAGAACTGAATGCTAACAACTCAAGCAATGAAAATGTATTAAATTTCAACCCAAAAAAATACAAAAATAAAATGCATCAAAGTCAAGCTATATAGTGTCAGAACTCGTAAGATAAAAGGCAACCATGCAAGTTGGTTGGTAAGGTGTTAACGTGTTATGTCCAGAAGAAGAAACTTCATAAGATAAAAAGAAGCTTAATTCCTTCCAACGCAGTACTACCTTTAATTACAACCTTTACGTGATTGACCTCTACAACTTGTTGGCAGTCAATCTATCTCGAAACCATAAACTAACAGAAAATTGGTGGCATTGGGGGAGAGTCTCCGTAGCTTTCACATACAAAACAAGGGCGGGCGCCTTTGCAGTTTCATAATTTTATTATCAAAAACACACAAGCAATTTCAATTTGGGTATTGGACGAAATATACATTTTCATTCTTAATTAAGAACCATTCATATAGTTTATTTTTATAGAAGTAATACTGTAGAGAGGGAATCGAACTCGAAACTTCAAGTGTAAGTCACATATATATGATCTTAACCTTTAAATGAAAGTTGGAAAGCTAAACTAGGGGAAAACTAATAAATTTACCTTCGATTTGTGTTGACCCTGAAAATTACAAAATCTATATGGGGCGCAGGCCGAATAACTTAATGAGCTAACTATACATCTTTCGTGGTTGATTGTTGATGCAGGTGTGCCGATTCGCAACCAACCTCGGTCGGACGAATACTTTTGAATGTGGTAATGTGATGGAATGCAATGTTAACTCCTAGAGCGAGTGATTACGGTCGAGTTCTCGGAATTAGGTTCTAAAACTAAAGACAATGTTACGCCTTTTACTATGAAATTCAATCTTCTGTACCAGGTTCGACCGCTTCTACTATATTTGTGAAAATATGAGTACGTTGAACTGGAATAAGATTGTAGGGACAAAGATACTCAAGGGAGATGAGTGTCTTTATGGTAAAAGTGGTTCGAGCGTCGATATATGCCGAAGTTCGAATGTCACTTGGGAATATCCAATCATAGAACACTCTACTTCATCAAAAATGCAAAAGTGACCTCATTCGGAGAAAGAATCAAAGACTCTTCACTGACTGAGACTTGAGATAGATAACCCATTGAAAAAAACAAGCACATGTTGTTTAACCAAACTATCAAGACTCTTCTACCTAGCTGGTTCTACGACTCCAGTTATGTTTAACCAAACCATCACCTTTGCTGATTGTCTCTGAAAAATTCTAGTTAACCAAACTGTAATCGTATGACGGCTGCCAACCCAAACTTGTTTAACCAAACTGAGTTTGTTCTGCCTTGTTAGTGGAGTAGTTAGTATTTTCAAGGGTGTGAGAGGGTTTGCGTAGAGAGTTAATTTGTGTATTAAGTTGAAGGTCCTCTCTACTTTGCAAACCCTCTTGTATTTATAGGGATAATTTACTTTGCTCAAGCATGTCAAGTGTAAAAATCCTACTAAGACTGCAATTCCTCAACATATTATCTAAAAACACTTGAAATTATCTTTGTCAATAATTTTCCCGCCAAAACTCTATCCTTACCAAGCCTCAGCGTCTTCGACCTAAACCAGGACTTCGAATTTAGTCCTTTTTCGTGATCAATTCATCTTCATTGTGATGTTCCAACAAAAACGTTATACCATTTGATGCGTCAATATTGGTTTTTATCTCATATATCTTGCACAGAAAATGTCAAAGAAATTCCTATGAACTCTTAATAGATAATATCATGATTAAGAACCACAATATTATTTGTCAACAATAATTGAAAGTTATCTTAATATCTTAACAATCATCCAACGGCCTAAATATATCAGCCAATAGTACTAAATTAGGCCCAAAGATTGCCCTTCAGTTTCCTTGAGCCTTGGCCTGCGAGCTGAATTGTTAAGGAAATTAATCCTCCCTCTTTCTAGTTACCAAAATGGATACGACCATGCATACTCGTTTTGTGCTGAAAAAATTATTTTCCTCTATGTCAAGCTATACACTATCAGCCAAGCCATCAACCATATCATTCTAAATTCCAACTGATATTATCCATCGCGAGAAGAATCTGGCAAGTTTTCTCAGTCGAAAAGTGTGAGACCGAAAATATTTTCACACTGTGCTCGGTGAGTCTAGGCCTAAATGGCAGAATTTTCTTTTTTTTTTTCTTTTGCGTCTAGCGGCTTGTTGCCTGCTTATTATCTTAAGCATTAGCTTAAACAGCCAAATGGTTAAGAAAATAAAAGTGGCCAAACTATGATGAGGAGGAAGCCAACGATGCTTTAAGCCGAGATTTTTTATATCAACATCTTCAATTTGATTTTGCTCCAGTAAACGATCATCTCCAAATATTCTTGACACCGCCAAATTTTTTTTTTTCTCTATAGCCAAATGCAATGAGTTATTATGACCCCGAGCATAATCACTTCGCTAATGTTGGCTTTTAACTTGAACAACTTCGCCAAACGAGATTGCTCCATATCAACTTTATCTCCAATAATCATATCGATTGACATGCTTTTGTGGCCAAGGCATTGTTTCGGCCTTGTTTGTCATCGGAACATTCCTCTGACAAATCAACTTCTTAGCTTATTTTTATGTTTTGCTCAAGAGGTTGAACTTTTTCTTCTAGGCTGACCAAATTTTCTGACTCAGCGAACGAATAGGTGGCCTAATTTCTTCTTCGGCCAAATTGACAATCTTCTTAGACCGAGGCTTATCAAGGCCGAAGTGAGGATTTGTCCCCCAGCCTTTTGATCTAGCCATACTTAAAATGGGATTGACTTGTATCTAAAACGATAGAAAAATGTTCCTCGTCTAGCCAAGCACTAAAACAGGTCATGTCTTTGTTTACCCATAGTTCTTGTAAGGTGACATGAGCTTTCACCTTAACATTTGGGAAGGGGAATCTCATTTTTTTTCATGTGCATCAATAATCTTCTCCACTTCTCTTGCCCTTTTTGCCTCCTCGCTCTTTTGAATGTGTTTCTCCAGTTGAGCTTGGATCTCATCTAATCGGTTGAACTGAGCCAAATCAGAGTATTGAAACATCATTTGGACTTCGCAATTTTAACACTTGGGACCCACAGTGCGTGCCAAAATGTTCACCATAAAAATAACAAAACCTACTTGATGCGGATGCCGAGTAAGTTAAATCCTACCAAGGCTGCGATTCCTCAACATATTATCTAAAAACTTGGAATTATCTCCGTCAATAATTTTCTCACCGAAACTATGACTCTGAAATTAGTCATTTTTCGTGATCTTCATTGTGATATTCTAGCAAAAAATTTATACCATTTAATGCTTCCAGATTGGTTTTTGCCCATATATCTTGCACAGAAGAATGTCAAGATAACTCCAATAAATTCTTCATAGATAATTATCATGATGAAAAATTACAATTTATCTATCAACAATAACTAAAAGTTCTATTAATATCTTAACAACCATCCAACGACCTCAAACACATAAGCCGATTGTAAACTATAAACCAAGATTCAGTTTAAAAAAAAAAAAATAACAATAAATAATTGGACCATTGCATTCTCCAATTTCATTTTCTTAAAAAAAAAAAAAAAAATGATGATGATATCAATTGGAATTTGGGGTGTATGAAATACAAGATATAGATAATTTAAATTGAAAATTATAAAGGTAGGGTCTGAAGTTAAGATTTCACCAAAAAATTACTTGGCAATATGAATAGTAGTTTCATTTGTCTCTCCAATGTGGGATTTTTACTCTCAGCACACATCTCCTCACATATGGCGAATTTCAAGCTTAGCATGTAGACAACCCAAATCGGATGAGTGGAACATGTGTAGCTGTTGGAATTCACACATGGGCCAACTTGACTATGATATCATGTAGTAAGTTGAGATTCCACCATAAAATAAATTGAGAGATATAAGGAGTAGCTCAACTCCTTATAAGTATATGCTAGATAACTTCTCATATGAATACATACTCTCAACAAGATCTGTCATATCAATTAGGATGAAATAAGCAGCTTCAACAGTTTTAATAGTAAGCAACTTGAGGCATATGGAGAAATATCGATCTGATGACTTTAATTATACTTTGACTTCCATTTGATGAGGCAGAAGCGGAATGGAATAACAAAGAACACTTTAATTGTAATGCAAGCATGTTGCATGCTACATACATTTGATGCAAAAGAGAGATCTATTTCGAGACCTCTATAAAAGGAGAGGCCAGAATCAATATGGTCACAGATACAAAGTTTCAAGAGCACAATTAATCCTTTGGCACCAGAATAGCTCAAGCTATGGTGCGCTTAGGCTTAGGTGTGTTTTTGGTCATCCTCTCGATGCTTGTTGGGGCAGAGGCAACAGCTTTTCGTCCAAAGACTAAGAAAGTGTGGTGCGAAGACACAAAATTCTATAAGTGTTACCACATAGATCTCTATTGCCCGGCAGCATGCCCCAGCACTTGTTTTGTGGATTGTAAGACATGCAAATCTGTTTGCCAAGCACCGCCGCCACCACCTCTACGGTCACCACCACCACCACCTCCTCCACCGCCACCAAAGCACAGACGCTCGCCCCCTCCTCCAAAGGCTTATCCTCGTTCACCTCCTCCGCCTCCAAAGGCTTATCAGCGTTCACCTCCTCCGCCTCTAAAGGCTTACTATCATTCACCTCCTCCTCCAAAGGCTTATCAGCGTTCACCTCCTCCTCCTCCAAAGGCTTACCATCACTCACCTCCTCCCCCTCCAAGGGCTTACCATCACTCACCTCCTCCTCCAAAGGCTTACCATCACTCACCTCCTCCTCCAAAGGCTTACCATCACTCACCTCCTCCTCCAAAGGCTTACCATCACTCTCCCCCTCCAAGGGCTTACCATCACTCACCTCCTCCTCCAAGGGCTTACCATCACTCACCTCCTCCCCCTCCAAGGGCTCACCATCACTCACCTCCTCCCCCTCCAAGGGCTTACCATCATTCACCTCCTCCGCCTCCAAGGACTTATCCTTCACCACCACCTCCACCTTTAGTTGTTCCTACTCCCCCTCCTTCCACTACCACTCCTCCGCCACCTCCTACTTCTACCCCATCATCTCTGCCACCTCCTACTTCTACGCCCTCATCTCCGCCGCCTCCTACATCTACGCTGCCTCCTACATCTACACCATCATCTACACCACCTCCTACTTCTATGCCATCACCACCTTTAACACCACCATCTCCGCCGCTTCCTACATCTACACCATCATCTCTGCCGCCTCCTACATCTACACCGTCGTCTTATCCCCCACCTCCCCCATCTTCAGAGAGCTCCGGAGAACAGCGAGTGAAATGCAAAAACAAGAATTATCCTCAGTGCTATGGCCTGGAGCATACTTGTCCTAGTGCTTGCCCTCACCAATGTGAGGTTGACTGCGTTACATGCAGTCCCGTTTGCAGTAAGTTCACCAAACCTTGCTACTTGTGTTACTTAGAAATATAATTACGATACTATAGCTGTACTATTTCCCACTCTAATCTTTTATCTTTTTCGAGCACAGCTCGGGAATTTAATTGTTTTACAACTGCATTAGATATCATCTGATGTAACAATTAATGTGTTAGTTAACCATAAAATACGAAACAAATGAAATATATTGTGAATTAGGCTAATATACAAAATGTGTGACATATATTGTTTACCATTAATATTGTCTCACTATGTGTGTGAAAAGGTCTAAGTAATATAAATTTATAATGGTTAAATAATAACATAGGAAGTATTATATAAAAATGAGTTTCTATTTGTGTGCATAATTTACATATATACACTGCTAACATATGTGAGCGTGCAGACTGCAACAAGCCAGGTGCTGTGTGCCAGGACCCCAGATTCATTGGTGGTGATGGAATAACCTTCTACTTCCACGGCAAGCGAGACCAGGACTTCTGCATAGTTTCTGATTCCAATCTCCACATCAACGCCCACTTCATCGGCAAAAGAAATCAAACCATGAAGAGGGACTTCACTTGGGTGCAGTCTCTAGGAATCCTCTTTGGTAACCACAAGCTCTACATCGGTGCCAAAAGGACGGCAACTTGGGACGACTCCAACGATCGCCTGTCCCTATCCGTCGATGGCCAAACCATAAGCCTCCCAGACAGCGAAGGCGCCAACTGGCAATCAATCTTATCAGCAGGAGCACTCAGCATCACAAGGACGAAAAACATGAACTCGGTAGAAATTGAAGCCGAAGGGAACTTCAAGATCAAGGCTGTGGTGGTGCCGATAACTGAAAAGGAATCGTTGATGCATAACTATGGGGTTACAGAAGAGGATTGCTTTGCTCACCTTGACTTAAGCTTCAAGTTTTATGCCCTAAGCAAAGAAGTGAGTGGTGTGCTAGGGCAGACATACGCAAGCAACTACGTGAGTAGGGTTAAGATGGGAGTTGTGATGCCTGTTCTGGGCGGTAACAAAGAATTTGCATCCTCTACCATCTTTGCTTCGGATTGTGAGGTTGCAAGGTTTACTGGTGAGATTGCTACGAATGATTTTTCAAACAACTTTGACCACTATGCTAGTACTATGAATTGTGCTAGCGGGGTGGATGGCCGTGGAGTTGTTTGTAAGAGATAAAATTAATTGGATATCTCGTAATAAATAATAAAGGCCAAGGACTCGTGAAGCGGTACGTCTGGCTGTTGCAGTTTCATAAATATTGGTGTAATATTGGTCAATTTGGTGTATTAATCCAACTTCTTTCTTATGTTTATAGTTATAGTCACAACGTAATCACTTCTAATACACAAATTGAAGTCATATCATCTCCGATTCACAATTTGGAGTGATATCAAATTCATAGTTGATTTATGTGTCTTTAATGGAGAGTGACACCTTTTTTTTTTTTAATTACAAGTGATATTCTCTCAGACTAAGGGTAGTGAAGATGTTTAAATCCTGAACGTAGTGATTTGTAAAGGAAGACTTTAACCACCAGAACAATCCACCACTTAATGAAGAATCCCATTTTTAACTCGGATTAATAAATGAACTAAATGACTTTCTTTACTACGCCAATGAATTTGATAATAAATAAAAGAATTGATAAAATCTATATACGGACTAAGGGTTGGTTTGGTATTGCTGTGCTTTGAAAAAAAACTGCTTCTGCTGTGCTGTGAGAATAAGTAGCTGTGAAATAAAGCAGCAGAGTGTTTGGTAAACTTTTTTGTAAAAGTGCTTTTGAAAAAAAAAAAAAGCAGTATTATAGTATTTGGTAAACTTTTATGTAAAACAGATGTGAAAAAAAGCCAATTTTTCAAAGCTGGGTTTTGCAACTTCTTGTTTTTGGCTTTTTCACCCAAAACTGTGAAAAAAAAGCTGAAGCTGAATGTTTACCAAACACAAAAACAGCTCCTAGCTTTTTTTTATACTAGTTTTTTTCAGAATAACCTCAGTACCAAACCAGACCTAAAGCAGATCTCTCGCTAATAGTGTTTAAAGTTTCACAACTTAATCACCTCGTATGTTTTGGAGGATAATGTTGTTGATGAGTGCATAATACATAAATTACCTTACCGTTAGTGGGAGTAAATATATAAAGAAAATTCTATATGTGAATGATACACTGCAAATAAAACATTCTTTTTTAGACGAGATAATTTGGTTGGGGAAAATACGGTTTCATCACCTAAGAGTATGTCCGACAAAACTTCGTCGGCAAAGTTCATTGCACAAAGCTCGTTGTGCGAAGTTTTGCCCGACGAAAACAAGAAATTGTCGGGAAAATGCCATTTGCCCAACCAATATTCTGACAAAATTTTCATTGGGTAAAAATGCGTTGACTAATTTTGTTCGACGAACTGACATAGCCAACAAATAGTTTCATCAGGCAAAGTTGTATTTTATGAAATTTTCGTTGGCTAAGCTTTATAAAGAAACAAATGTAAAAATAAAAGAAAAAAACCTTAGCTCGATGACTATTTTCATGGCGCAAACTATTTTAATATTTAAAAAATATATATACATATATATATTTGATTTAAATTAATTAATTTTTATTTATTAATCTCAAAATATATCACAACATAAATAAAATGAGGTAAGATAGTATAGAATGATGAAAAGTATGTGAGAAATAGTGTAGGAAAAAATTAGCATTTTTTTTTTTCAAATTTGTCAAAAAAAAAAAAAAGGGCTGGGCTCATCGGGCTGGTTGGCTAGCTGGCTGGAGATGGCCAGTCTGTTGCCCTGATTTGGTGGTTTTGGCCTTGTGGGACCCACAAACCCTTTGGCTTAACCCTCGGTTGGAGACGGTTTTTGTGTCATTTCGAGCTATTTTTAGCCCTATGGCCCTCTGACCGGATCAGTGAGAGATGGCTTAAGAGCTCATCCAATGCTTTCTCGAGCTAAGCCAGTAGATCGCAACCTTGTTGCTCTTCTTTCTTTTCTCACGGGCCAGAAGCTCTTTGTTTCACCAAATTTTTTGTCTTATTCTATAGATATAGTACCTCCGGAATCCAACGAGCAACAATAATTACTTAAATGACACAATGAACTATGAAGAAATAACCATTTAGATAAGATTTTCTATAAATATAAAGTTATACATCAATTGAATTATAATTAAAATCGTTAAGATTATAGTTTTAAAGTTTTTGGAGGTTGCAAACTTGCTCCAAATGAGGCAGGTAGGGGTGTTAGCAAGAGAATATGTCGTCAATGATTTGGATATTCCAACTCCAATTGAACCAATTATAGTTTGAAGAGCGCTACCATTGAAGGAGGTAGGATTGTCCAATTCTCGATAACTCATTATAGTGTGAAGAAGTACTCTATTCTTTGGAAACATGAATTGAGAATATTATTTACTAGATCACCAAATTTTATTGTCTCTAACAGGCCGAGACATTATAGAATTTGACCAGGTGTACTACGTATTTTCCTTCCAAAAAAAGTGAGGATATCTCAATCTTTACACGTATGTGTCCATAACAAGGTGTTGTTAAAACCTGTTTTTGAATCTAATTAGCAATCTCATTGACTAACTAATTCTCCATAATAAAGTGTTCTAACCTACTTTTGAATTTAATTAGCAATCCCATTAACTAACTTCTATGTATAATTGATCCACCATATAGAAGAAAAACCAATAATGAACATGGCATGCCTACATAGTTACATCTTATAAATAGACCTTAAAAAAATAAGGTAATAGAAACCAAATTTGTATTTGTTAAAATTTTCATCAATAAGGAAATAACTCACAATTGGTTGAGTGTCCAAGGCACTAGAAGAGTTCCGTCTTGTTCATAAACAATCTCAAAAGAATCAATATGAATATGTTTGCCCACATGCCTATGTCCTTATCCCTTAAATGCTTCTACGTCAGATCTACATCGTAGTACGAAGAAATCCCCTCTAATAAAGCTATTCATCTTCAATGAAGTTGATTGCTTGATGGACAATAGTCAAGCTACCATAGAGCTATAGTAAGTCAATGCATCACCAAATAAAAAATTACTAAATTGTTGTTCCCATTCACCAAACTCAACCTGAAATTCGAAATTCAAGTGTCACTGAATACAATTCAACTCTGCTTCTATGCAAGTCATAACCAATATTGTAGGCTTCCCAAACTTTCTTTGTGTATGACTATCACAATTGATGCATTCTCTATCGCAAACCATCACTCAAAGGGTTAACAACAGAAGGATGATCTAGCATATCAAAGTCACATGAACAAGTGATGTGCCAAATTACTAATTTCATGGTAGATGATGTGACCATATTGACTAACTACGTACACAATAATACTAGACAATTGCAAACAATCATCAACTTGTATTTTACAAGGATGAGAATGGCATGAGATATATATCAGTTGTCTCCCTTTGTTATTCATTCACAAATTCATTATAAAACTTATGGTTTTAGAACACCATGAAAATTAGTTGTGGATCCTACTTGGAGAATTGTTTGACTATTTTCAAGAAAACATTGGAAACAATTTTGATGGCCATCTACTTGTATGCTTTTGAAAGCTCACAGTTAGGCAAGGATGAGATACTCAGCAGGTGGTATGCGAAAGTAAGACCTCATCCAGTGCTTTCTCAATCTAAGGCAGCAGATCGCAACCTTGTTGCTCTTCTTTCTTTCCTCACGGGCAAGAAGCTCTATGTTCCACAAAATATGTTGTTCTATTCCATAGATATAGTACCTTCGAAATCCAATGAATTGTAATACCTTGATTATTTTTAAATATGTGATTTAGTTATGAAATTCAATTAATTGATGATTATGAAATCCAAGTGGAGGGAAATGTGAAATCCAGTTTTCAGATTTTATTATTATATTAAGTATTATGTGTTGTATTTAGAGTTACGACGTATTTATATTTATGGCATTTAATTTTTTGATAAGTTAGAAAATGTCCCTAGTTGGTAAACAGAATTATATGAGTACGTATTCTATCCTTATAGTTTGAAGAAGTATTCTATTCTTTAGAAACATGAAATTGAGAATTTTAATTATTGGATCACCAAATTGCATTCTCTCAGAGGCCAAGACATCATAGTATTTGACCAGGTGTACTACGAATTTTCCTTCAAAAAATGTGTGAGGATATCCCAATCTTTACATGTATATCTCCACAACAAGGTGTTGTTAAAACCTATTTTTGAAACTAATCAGTAATCACATTGACTAACCTCCAAAATTCTCCATAACAAAATGTTCTAAATCTGCTTTTAAATCTAATTAGCAATACCATTAACTTACCACCATATATAACTGGATAGCCGCCATATAGAAGAAAAGTCAGTAATGAACATGGCATGCCCACATAGTTACTTCTTATAAATAGACCTTAAAAAATAAGGCAATAGAAACCAAATTTGTATTTGTTAAAATTTTCATCAATAATGAAACAACTCACAATTGGTTAAGTGTCCAAGGCACCAGAAGAGTTTCACCTTGTTCATAAACAATCTCAAAAGAATCGATATAAATACGTTTGCCCACACGCCTACGACCTTATCCCTTAAATGATTCTACGTTAGACCTACATCGTACTACGGAGAAATCCCCTCTAATAAAGCTATTCATCTTCAATGAAGTTGAATGCTTGATGGATAACAATCAAGCCACCATGCAACTATAGTAAGTCAATGATTTAAAAATAATAAATTCCTAATTTTTTTTTTCCACTCAACAAACTTAATTTGAAATTCAAGATTTAAGTGTCGTTAAAGATAATTCGAGTCTGCTTCTATGCAAGTCATAACAAATATCGTAGGCTTCCAAAACTTTCTTTTTGTATGACTATCACGACTGATGCATTCTCTATCACAACCCATCACTCAAAGAATTGGACAAAATAAGGATGATCTAGCATATCAAAGTCGAACGAACAATCATCAACTTGCATTTTACCAAGCTGTGAATACAAGTGATGTCCCAAGTTACTAATTTCATGTTAGATAATGCTACCATATTGACTAACTATGTACATAATAATATTAGACAATTACAAACAATTATCAACTTGTATTTTATCAAGATGAGAATGGCATGAGATATATATCAGTTGTCTACCTTTTTCATTCATTCACAAATTCATTATAAAACTTATGACTTTAGAACACTATGAAAATTAGTTGTGGATCCTACTTGGAGAATTGTTTAAATATTTTCAAGTAAACATTTGAAACAATTTTGATGGCCATCTACTTGTATGCTTTTTGTGACAACCCGTTCCAAATTTTACGTTTTTATTTTATTTTAAAAGCGTGAATTTACGAAATTGCCCTAGAGGC